GGGGACCCCGCCGGGACCGGGGCCCCCCGCCTCGCGGCTGGCCCGTCCCCAGCCTCCCGGGGCAGGTGCCATTGCTGCCAAGCCCCTGTGCCCGTCCCCGGCTGCTCCGTGCTGAGCTCCCCCGGTGCCGCCAGGGGCTTTGTGCCCCGCTGGGGCACAGGGATGCAAGGGGATGCAAGGAGCCTGACATCGTGGAGGGCTCCAACAGCAGCAGCAAACAAGAACCGTGAGAAAGGGCCTGCTCTGGCACCGTCCTCGTGGCTGTTAAACACTCCACATTTAGCAGCAACTGAAAATGTCACCAGTGGAAAAGGAGGGGACAAACCGAACATATCGCTACGTACAGAACAGGGCACCTCCCGACCCAAGAGCTGTGTATGTGGGGTACCCCGAGAACCTCCTTAATGGTGACCTCCTCACTGTCATCCCTACAGACACAACTGGGTATGGCAGGTCACTTAATTAACAAAACAAATGAGAAGAAAAAGGCGCAGGTGCTCGGCTTGGCCACGCTCTGCAGGCCAGATGGCAGGTGGTGCATGTAGTCCTGTAGGAAATGGCCCAGGTGTGCTCGTGTAGCAGATGCCCTGCTGGTGCTCACCTGCAGCGGAGCTGGGAGCGGGTGTCACTCTGGAGGACCCGTTGCTGTGGGGCCAGAGTGGCCTTACAGCATGGAAACCTGGGCCTTGAATGTAGGGGCTCTGTGGGGCCAAACCAAACAAGAGAGAGAATGGCTAGAAGCACACATCAGAACAGGAGGAAATGTGGAAAAGGGGAAGCTCTCCCTGCCCACAACAGGGGACAAAACTTTCTGTCCCAGCACAAAGACCTTGGCAGCAAGTAGCAAGTGAAGGACAAGTTCTGAAAGTCTGAAGCTCTTCCTGGGCAGGCCATGGTCACAGTGGGGATGGAAACAGCAACGCTTCACCATTGGCACTGTCTACACCCCCTGCCCCAACTTCCCTCACGCTGCCCCAGAATGAATCCAGACCAGTCATGTGGGCATCAGCTGGTAACACATCCTAAGCTCTCCCACTGGAGAGGTCCCTGGACAAACTAGCATGGTGTGTGTGCAAGCTGTGGGGCTCGGCATGGGATGAACTGTAGTTTTCAAACCCAAATGAATGCCTGAACCCTCCGCTTTTGCCTGGCGGACAGAACCTCCCTTAGCAACATTGCCAAGAGCAGTGTGGCTGGATTTAGGGTTACTTTCCATTACCTCCCACCGGACTCAGGAAACGTTTATCCAAACAGAAGCTTTGGGCTGAGCCAGGATCCGCACTACATGGGCTCTGGGCACGTGGCCCTTGGCTTTGCTCCATGCAGTGCCTGTTGGCAATCAATGCACTTGCCACACGCCAGGCCGGGAGGAAACAGCTTGAGGCTCAGATGCAGCTTGTGCTTTCTACCCATTTGAAAACAACCTCCTCCGATTGCAGGGATAACTGTTGTTTGGCTGAATCCGCTCCGCTTTTCAAAACAAGACCACAACAAAGCAGAACAGGGAAGATCCGTTCTGGGAGGAGGAAGGATGTGCCTCGGACAGGTGCCCTTCCCTGGAGTAGCTCATGTGCATCAAGCATAAGCTGCCTCACTAATGCCACGTAACGTGCAGCAGGGAGAGGGGTGACGGGCGCCCTGCCAGCGCGCAGCTGCCCGCGCCGCCGTGATGGCGATGCCCGATGTCAGCCAGCCACAGCCCGCGTTCACAGCCAGGCCTCGCGCACGCTGTTTACCCAAGAGCTGCAGCCATATGCCACGCTCGCCCCGCATGCACTTTGTATTACGGTTATTGTGCAGCAGGAGGGGGGAGCGAGCCCAGGGCGCTCCTCCCAGCAACGCCCTGCAAGGTGCGGGGCCGCGGGTGCCACCTCCGCCTTCCTGGCGCCTGCCCCGGCCCTGAGCTCACCACTTCCCTCCGCTCGGTTATCTGGGCAGGCAGAAGCCACAAGCGGTAACGCAGCTTCCCCTTGTGTGAGCGGCTGAGGTGCTGCCCGTGCCTGCAGGGCACCAGGTCTGCCTGCCCCACTCCATGTGGGCCTGTGCCCGCAGGGGGCCAGGTCTACCCGCTCCACGCCATGTGGGCCCTTGCTCACGAGGCTTGGGGCAGAGCGGCTGGAGAGCTGCGCAGCAGAAAAAGATCTGGGAGCATTGGTCCATGGCCAAGAAGGCCAGCGGCCTCCTGGCTTGTACGAGGAACAGCGTGGCCAGCAGGAGCAGGGAAGGGACCGTCCGCCTGTGCTTGGCGCTGGTGAGGCTGCACCTCGGATGCTGTGGTCAGTTTGGGCCCCTCACTTCAAGGGGGACATGGAGGTGCTGGAGCGTGTCCAGGGAGGGGCAGCGAAGCTGGAGCAGGGGCTGGAGCACAGAGCTCCTGAGGGAGCTGCGGTTATTCCATGCGGAGAGGAGGAGGCTCCACGGAGACCGTATCGCCCTCCACAACTAACTGAAAGGAGACTGCAGGGAGACCGGGGTCGATCTCCTCTCCAGAATAACTACCCATAGGACAAGAGGAAACGGCCTCAAGTTGCGCCCGGGGAGGTTCAGGTTAGACATTGGGAAGAATTCCTACATGGAAAGA